AGAGCCGTGCTAGAGACATGCTGCAGCTATATTATGGTTGTAGCACGAATATCGGCTCGACCGGGGCTGGTATACAGAATAGCAGCATAAAATAGCAGCTCAATGCTGCTGTGTTTCCTATGGTGAGTGTGGAGACCCGGAGACCATTTTATTGGAAACAAGGGCTTCCTTTAGGCATTCATCTTAGTCCTGAGGTTATGGAAACGCATTTATATTTTCATCCTTAATCGAGGATAAATGTAGATATCTATGGACCACAGCATCCATTTAGCATCAGGTGGACTGTGTGCTCGAATGTTACCCTTATTATTCTATAAAAAAAAATTAAATCATGGCTCTACCGGGGCTGGTATACAGAATAGCAGCATAAAATAGCAGCTCAATGCTGCTGTGTTTCCTATGGTGAGTGTGGAGACCCGGAGACCATTTTATTGGAAACAAGGGCTTCCTTTAGGCATTCATCTTAGTCCTGAGGTTATGGAAACGCATTTATATTTTCATTCTTAATCGAGGATAAATGTAGATATCTATGGACCACAGCATCCATTTAGCATCAGGTGGACTGTGTGCTCGAATGTAACCCTTATTATTCTATAAAAAAAAATTAAATCATGTCTGGGACCTTTTTAACACACTTTTATTAGCTTCATGTGTATCTATCTATCTATCTATCGTAATCTTTTAATGTAATTTGCACCAAATTGTAGACTGCCGATTGATCTGAAATTTTGCACTCGTGTCAAGGACCGATGACAATACAATAATTTATTCACTATGAGCTGTATTCCAACTAGGATCATCAATGCGTGTTGTTTAAGTTTTTTTAACATATAAAATACAATAGAGACAACTTAGTCTATTAATTTATTTATTTAATATACCAAAATCGTAACAATTTGAAATAAAACATATATAAATGCATAATATAACGAATATTAAATTAACGTTCAATATATAATATTTATATATTTATAACATTAACAAACTAGAATGTAACTGATTTGATTATTATATTAAAATACTGAAACTACAAAAAAACACGTGAAAATGTTTGGTGTTTCTTATTAGGGCAAAATACGTTAAGGGCGTAATATTAATTAGTTTTATCATATATTTTTGTATTTAATGACTTAATCAGTGGCGTAACATAGGTTACTAGCCCCCCGGAGCCAAAATGGGGGGGGGGGGGGATATGAAATCGGTAAAAGTGTTCTATAGTTTCTGTATATAATTTAAAAATGAAAAAATCATGTTTGAGTAACGTCAGAACCATGATTACAGTGTTTCTTTTTATCAAAATAATTCAGTATGTCCCATTATTTATTTTTACTGGCATCATTTAAAAAGCTATGGCAGGAAGCTAACTTCCGCTAGGAGTAATAAACTTCTGCCCCTCTTGCCCCCTGCTGTACCACTGCATTTAGTCTGTTAATCTTTAATCGATTTGGATGTTTGGAGATTTATGAGAATGTGAACTTTACCCAGGTTGATGAGCTAGCCCTTAGCATATTGAGACAATTGTACAAAGGACAAAATTTTAAGTTAATTAGTATTTTCAATGTCACATCTCTTTCTTCATTTTCAACTTCTCATTTTTTTATCTACATATTCTTATATTTTTATTTTATTACATAAAAATTAAAAAATCATGTGTTACAAATACTTTATAATTGAGTAAAAACTAAACTGTATCTATTTATTATATAAATAAAAAATTAAATATTTCTAATTATAGATCTTTATCTACCAATATAATATATTAATTACATTTTAATATTTGAAATAGAAACATATTATAAGCATATCTTTGGTCACTCGAATGCAGAATTTTAAATCTAATAAGCATATTTTAAATGGAAAACTATTGCTCAACTTCTATTATATACAAACCTTTCGCCTTACTTAATATTAATTAATTTATAAAACACTATAACTATTAAATGGTGCTGGTATAGTGATAGCAAATGAAAAAGGTAAGTATTTTTCGCTTTAATAGTAATCTCTTATCAGGAACTCTGTTATATACATATATTTAAAACAAAAATTTTACAGGCTAACACAGGTCTGCTTGAAAATTATTATTGGTATTATTTGTATATATATTAACCGGAAAATAATGTCAGATGTTAGTCCTTACGTTGCCAGTAGATATCTTAGCATGGATTGTTTTGTACTTACTCTATTCGATCTAGGGAATTTGTTTTAAGGTACGGAATATAAATCTAAAAGTCCTAAATTCGAATAAGCTATTCGCTTTTACTATGAACCACTCCCAACACAAACGATTGAGGTATATTTAGAGTAATTATAACAGGAATAAAAATGTTTAAAGCATTATGCTACTTGGTATTGATTTTTTAATAGGTAATAAGTTACGTGCGTATTTACTTGTTCCCTAGATCAAACGAAAACAAATATAAACACAGATCTGGCAACGTTTCTTCTTATTATTTTGCAACATAGGCGCCTCCTTTTTCCTACTTTCAAATATTTCAAGCCCGAATAATAAAGATATCGATTACGGCATTGTAGTAGTAATAGCCAGATATTTAGATAATTTGAGTGCATTTATTTGATTCTCATGTTCGTTTATAAATTTTACTTTATATTTATTATTGTCTTGAGTATATTAAAATTAAATTTTAAATACCGGAGGCGTTTTTTTTCACTTAGTTCAAAAATTTCATCAAATAAAAATTAATATACAAACGACCTACTAAAAATAAATCGATGTTTATTTAAGACAATATTAAGACAATACGAGACGTATTTATACATTTATTTTGGTTGTATGTCTTACGTTATACCGTATAACTATTAATTTACTTTTTCGTGAGGCAAAACTAGGTCCCATTGTAGCTATTATTTGTTGAACTAGGCAAAAGCCATACAATTTAAACTACATATTAGTTTAGTGACCAGTGTAAATCTGGTTGTTTGAGTGTGACATTAAATATTTATATAAACATTAAAGTCTTATATTTATTATTTCGAATGTCAGGCAAATGTTTACCCTGCTTTTATTAAGAAACGCGTCCAAAACTTTCTTTAAAATTGGTTCAAGAATAGGTTTAGTTTGTAATGAAGTGAACTCTATAACAATTGATCTGCATCATACTAATACATATTTAATACAAACTTCCAAAATTGATTAAAAAAATGTAATGCCACCGATTAAGACCAAACTTACCAACGAAATTGTGCCGCAGGATAGAAAAGTCAACCCCATGATTTATTTATAATATAACTTTTGAAATAATGTTTGTAGAGTAAGTACACCAGATTATAACGGAGGCCTTGTTAGGCCTAGGAGGTGCACAATGCATAAGGAGGTGAAAAGTGGTAGGAGTTGGGAGGATTGGGACTAAGGAGGAACCAAAAACTGGCTGGTGCTGCTAGAGTCGCAGATGTGTGCGAAAGAGTTCGCGTGGCCTCGCTTATATACAAATTTTTGATACCATAGAGTTTCAGTTGGTACGAGTTTGAAATATTCCGTGTCTGTCCCAGCGAGGGCGATGCAAAGGCATAATTTTCCCATGAAAAATAGGCCACGGGGACAGATAGCCATGAAACCGTGAACCACAAAATGTTAGTAACTATTGGCTTTTTGTGTGAAAAAAAGCTTCTCGAGTGGCAGGCTCGTACCGGTAGGCGAAGTGTAAGGCGACCCCCCACTAGGTAGAGTGACGATCTGGTAAGATATGCAGGAAGTCGATGGCTGCAGGTGGCTCAGGACCGTGCTTTGTGGCATTCCTTGGGGGAGGCCTATGTTCAGCTGTAGACTTGTGAAGGGCTGTAATGATAATGATGATGAATAATGATTTAATGAATGGTAAACGAGAATCGGGAGCTAAAGATTAGATTATTTCTTTACTCAATGTAATTCCACATTAATTTAAATTAGTTAAATAACGACTCAGTCAAAAATATCATTTGTGATTTGGATTTGGATCGACTGTTCTGTTTAATGATTGATTTTAATAGTGGATAAATGTAATAACCCAGCAATTTACTTTACTGGACGTTGTAAACGCGGAAAGCGTGTGGTTGATATAATATTATAATGATGCAGATTGACTGTAGAGATCTTTCATAGAAATGTTCAAGTACATCTTATTTATTCTACGGGTAAAACTTTAGTGCTTAGGGTGGGTACTAGTATTAATCTCAAATAATTATCACAGTTCAGCTGTTTATATGAAAGACTAATTTTGAAAAGTTACGTGTCGTATTATCATAACGGGGATAGGATTTAGGCATCTACTTTTTAGTTTTTGGATTTGTCTCATGGTTCACGTAAAAAAATATTCATGATATACATAAGTTCCAAAATTTGCTTATTGTTCTGTGACTTGATATTACAGAAATTTTCAAAATAAAATAATTTAGAAATAAAACCTAGTTATAGGGACGTGCGAAGGAAAATTACTAAATTTTACTTTACCTTTCTAAAAAATTGAAGGCAAATATGGTAAGTTTCCCTTTTGCTGTTATTTTATGGTCTTAATTTTAATAGATATTTATTTATATATACATACTATAAATTAAGCTAAGATTTATGTACAATTTATTAAATAAATGTATGAATCAATAACAACAAACTTAAAAGCAAGTGTATCGTACAAGGTTCGTTTAAAGCAAAATGATATAACGAGATAAATAAGCGTAATTACTATATTATTTACTTGTACCTGTACCTATAGGTATAGAAAAAGTTTACCATATCTACTTTTGAGTCTTTGGTCGTTTACATACATCTATAGCGAGTAGAATCCGAAACTTAGTTTAACCACACTATCTATATCGTTGTATAAATTGTCTATTAATATTCACTGCACACGAGCTATTAATACTTAGAAGCGTTTAGGGACATATTTATTAGCGTCTTTGACAATTTTTATGCTGAAGCATTTATGATAAATGTTTGTGAGCGGTTAACGGTATTGTGCGAAGGGTACAGACCGCGACGGCACCACTTTTGTGAAAGGTAGTGGCATAACTCATACATCAGGTCTAAGTAGGTGCAGATCTACGGCAACATCTCTTCTTTGTGTGCGAAGGAGTCTCGGAGGGTGTCCCGTCTGCGCAGCGCCTAATAATGCCGTATCCTCGGCGAGAGAATCTCCGGATCCGTATCCACGTTCATCACCTGCTTCTGCCTCACCCTCACACCAAGACGGCGAACCAGAGCTCCCTGATCGCGTGCCACCAGCCTCCGCTTCTGTCTCTACTTCTACAGAGCAGCTTGCGCAAACCTCTGAAACGAAATATCAAAATAGCATTTATTAATTAAGAGGCTCGATGGAATCAAAGATCTTTTCATAAGTAGTATTATGTATACTATTATTACATGGATATTTGATATCTACAAGTACTTGACACAAATTTATTAATAAAATTGATAAAAAAACTTCTAGCAACGATTACTTAAATACAAAAACGAAGGCTCGCGTTTTACATGCTTTATATTAATAACGTAGAATTTAAGTTTTACAAGCATTTTAAAATTTATTTGTTCTTATTTTTTTTTAAATACTTTTTCTTTGAACCTTCATAGGTATCGCTTGCGCGTTCTTTTACTTCCTTTAGATTTTTTTTATTGCAATTTTTTGTTGTAATGAAATAAATAAATGAATATCAATGAAAATATATAAAAACTAAATGTTTTAATTTCAGTATAATTAAAATATCTTGTTCTTTGATTTACTTTAATTATAAACTTATAAACTTTTAAATTTTTCTTTGATTTAAACAGGGGACCGATAAAATCACTCAAATTAGTAAATTATCCTTTAATACTTACAATTTGCGTACCTTATACTCAGTATCACCAAACGGTATTCGCTGAAGGTCATACAGGTTTACGCACCAACCTCGGCACACCCCGATGAGGAGGTGAAGGCAATGTATGAGGATATCTCTAGAGCCATGATTTCCTCCAAAACCCAATATAAGGTGTTAATTGGAGACTTCAATGCAAAACTAGGCACAAGAGAGAACGGTGAACTGAAAGTAGGGAAATTTGGAATAGGGCAACGGAACCCAAGGAGCCAGCAGCTGACCGACTTCATGGAGAAAGAGGGACTCTTTATGATGAACTCTTTCTTCCAGAAGCGGCCCCACAGGAAGTGGACCTGGTCGAGCCCCGACGGTTCGACAAAAAATGAGACTGACTTCATTATGACGACCAGACGACAACTGTTCAGTGATGTCTCCGTGATCGCGAGGGTGAAAACTGATAGCGATCACCGAATGGTTAGAGGCACACTGAACCTAAACGTTAAGTTGGAGAAGTCGCGTCTAATGAAGTCAACGCTCCGTCCCCCTCGTGCTCTGTTCCAAAGTCCCGAAACCTTTCAGCTCGAGTTACAAAACCGTTTTCAGTGCCTAGAAGACTGCAATGAAGTGGACGATATGAATGACAAGCTCGTGGAAACTGTCCATGCGGTCGGAGCTAAGTTCTGCAAGACCCGCCGCAGAAGAAAACAAAAGCTCTCCGATCACACTCTTAATCTCATGGCTGTTAGACGGGAGATGAAGCTACATTCTTCAACAGACTTGACAGCATACAGGCATCTGAACAGAAAGATCTCCAAATGCATGCGGCGGGACTTATGCAACTTCAGCTCGTATTGAAGAAGCGATCGAGCGGAACCAAGGCTCCAAAGTCTTTGCCAGAGATCTGTCTGCCAGAAAGAGCCAAGTGTCAAAGCTGAAGACAGAATGTGGTAGCATCGTTTCCAGGACACCTCAGATTTTGAGTGAGATTGAGAGGTTCTATGGGCAGCTGTATACGTCATCGTTGGAGCCACACGCAAGTGTAACGATCCAAGAGCGAGTCTCATCCGACACTATTCCGAAGATATCTCGGACGTCAGTCTGAGCGAGATTAGAATGGCTCTCCAGCACCTTAAACAAGGCCCCAGGCGAGGATGGAATTACAGCGGAGCTTCTGAAAGCGGGTGGAAGACCGGTACTTGAAGTCCTTCAGAAGCTCTTTAATTCCGTCCTCCATGGTGGCATTACACCGGAGGCGTGGAGCAGAAGTGCGGTGGTCTTGTTCTTCAAGAAAGGTGACAACGCTCTCTTGAAGAACTACAGACCGATTTCCCTTCTGAGCCGCGTCTACGTGCTGTTTACGAGAGTCATTTCGAATCGTCTCGCGCGCAGACTTGACGACTTCCAGCCTTCCGAACAAGCCGGTTTCCGAAAAGGCTTTAGCAGCATAGACCACATACATACCCTTCGGCAAATTGTACAAAAGTCAGAGGAGTACAATTTGCCACTATGTCTGGCGTATGTGGACTATGAGAAAGCCTTTGATTCTGTCGAAATTCGGGCGGTGCTGCAATCCCTTCAGCGGTGCCAAGTTGACTGTCGGTATATCGAAGTGCTGAAGTGCTTGTACAGTAGGGCTACGATGGCTATCCGGTACAGAACCAGAGTACGAAACCTATCCAATTGCAGAGAGGTGTAAGACAGGGTGACGTCATATCCCCGAAACTCTTCACCGCTGCATTGGAAGACGTTTTCAAGCTTCTGGACTGGAAAGGATACGGTATCAACATCAATACATCACTCACCTTCGATTTGCCGACGATATAGTCCTTATGGCAGAATCGCTGGAGGACCTAAGCACTATGCTCAATGACCTCAATAGTGTCTCCCAACGGACAGGTCTTAAGATGAACATGGACAAAACAAAGATTTTGTTTAATGTCCATGTCACACATATGCCGGTAGTTGTTGGGAGCACTAAGCTGTTTACCTGGGACAAATAGTCCGACTAGGTAAGTCCAACTTCGACCGAGAGGTCAATCGACGGATTCAACTCGGCTGGGTAGCGTTCGGGAAGCTACGACACATTTTCTCGTCAGACATACCTTAAAACCTTAAAACGAAATGGTACAACCAGTGCGTGTTGCCAGTGATGACTTACGGAACTGAGACGTGGTCCTTCACTGCTGGCCGTATGAGGAAGCTCAAGGTCGCTCAGCGAGCTATGGAGAGGGCTATGCTCGGAGTTTCTCTGCGTGATAAACTTAGAAATGAGAATATCCGCAGTAGAACTAGAGTAACCGACATAGCCCAACGGATTAGTAAGCTGAAGTGGCAGAGGGCCGGCCATATAGCTCGAAGAACCGACAACCGATGGGGAAGAAAGGTTCTCGAGTGGCAGCCTCGTACCGGTAGGCGAAGTGTAGGGCGACCCCCCACAAGGTGGAGTGACGACCTGGTAAGGCATGCAGGAAGTCGATGGATGCAGGTGGCTCAGGACCGTGCTTTGTGGCATTCCTTGGGGGAGGCCTATGTTCAGCAGTGGACTTATAAATGGCTGTAATGATGATGATGATGACTTACAATTTACTAATTTTTCGTGAAGTAATATTGGTTTGAATGGTACGGAATTTGATTTTGAGTTTTTAACTTATAATAGATTATTACCGGCCTCAAAATATTCTTTAAGATTTGATGGCATTATTCCATGCAGCAGAGCTGAGCCGTGAGCATATTATATAAAATTATATGCTGGTTACGCACACTAAATAAAATTTCAGCAAACTAAACAATCATGTCAAATTTTCTGAACTCAATAGGTAACAATAATTTAATTAAAGTTTATGATTAGAAATTTTTGCATATTACGAGTAATTATGATGCAGTGCACTGACCACAGAGTCATGCAACGCACAAATCCTAATTTGCTTCTGTGGAAAATTTCCACGTATGTAATACTTATACTTATACTTATACTTATCTTCACGCACAATCCCTGACGGGGTAGCCAGAGAGAACAGATCGCCAAGTGTCACGATCCTTACAAACCTCTTTCGCTTCTTTCAGATTCATTATCTTCTTCATGCATGCACGTCTAGGTATCCGAGTACTTTTGACCCTACCCTCTTCGAGCAATTTGCTCACATGGTCTTCGAAAGTTAGTCTCGGTCTACCTCGACACCTTTTAATATTAACTTTCGCGCTATATATTTTCTTCACCATTCGGTCTTCACTCATTCGCTCAACGTGCCCAAACCACCGAAGCACGCCCTTATCAATTTTTGTGATAAGGTCATCTTTCAAACCTGCCATATTGCGAATCTCTTCGTTTCGCTTTCGGTCGGCCATGGTAACGCCGCACATTTTACGAAGAGATCGCATCTCCACTGCATTCAACTTACTTTTATGCTTCTTCTGGCATACCCAGGTTTCGCTGCCATATAACAAAGTCGGTACCAACACTGCGTTATGTATTGCAAGGCGTGCACTCTTAGCTACGCCTTGCCTTTTGACTAACGCAGTCAGGGCACCATTGACTTTGTTCCCGGCAGCGACACGCCTGTCCACATCTAAATCACATCTTCCATCCCGGCTAAAAGCACTCCCCAAGTATACAAGTATACAACGGTATACATAATGTAATACTTCAACTGGAAATATTACATACGTGGTTGGTACCCTACGTTGGTTGGATAGTAATATAGGTACCGTTATACAAGGACTATACATTGCGTATACGCAAATTATAATACTAAATATATTTTAAACTAAACCCTGTATACATATATACCCTAAAATGAATATAAACGAATTAATGTTAATGTGTTTTTACTTTTACTATAAATTGAGATTATAATATTTTATAGATACAACAATTAAATGCAAGAGTAAAATTAGACATACAAGGAATTCATCACCATCATCATCATTATCATTACAGCCCTTCACAAGTCCACTGCTAAACTCAGGCTTCCCCCAAATAATGTCTTACCAGGTCGTCACTCCATCCAGTAGGGGGCCGCCCCACACTGCGCCTACCGGTACGAGGCTGCCACTCGAGAACCTTGCTCCCCATCGGTACGCGGTTCTTCTACTAAACCGTTGGGCTAGCTACATTGGTTACTCTGGTTCTACTTCGGATATTCTCATATTTAAGTTTATCACGCAGACTCTCCATACCTCGCTGAGCGACTTTGAGCTTCCTTATACGGCCAGTAGTGAAGGACCATGTTTCAGAATCTCAGATTCATAAGTTATCACTGGTAGGTAACACTGGTGGTACAATCTTGTTTTCAAGGTTTGAGGTATACCTGACGAGAAAATGTGTCGTAATATCCCGAACGCTGCCCAGCCGAGTTGATTTCGTCGATTGACCTCTCGGTCGAAGTTGGACTTATGATTGAGTTAGACCTACATTCCTACTCGGACTATTTGTCCCAGGTAAACATACTCGTCAACAACTTCGAGTTTAGTGTTCCC